ATGGGAAAATGCTAAGGTCAGCTCACCAGCTGATGAAATAATATAAGCCCAATGGCCAAGATTCAATCTGGGCCGATCTGATAGTCAGGACTATATTTCGATAATATAATTTAATATTTTATATAAATCCAAATAACATGAAATTTGGAGCGTCAACTCTTCTCATCAAGGCGCACCTAAGTAAAAATATTAAAAAAATAATTCGCATAAAATAAATTGACCTATCAAGGGTATTTTAATCAATTTATTTTATGCGAAGTATTTTTTTTGATATTTTTATTAGATTCCAGTAGACGATACAAATGTGAAATGATTTGGATTTGTAGAAAAAAAAAAATTCAATTACGAAATACAACTGTGATCATTGGATCGACCCATATTCAATCTGGGCCATTAGCTTATACTGTTCTATTAGCCCATGGGCTGACAAGAGCTTTTTGGCAGCCCCACTAGCTGACAGCTACATTCACCTAAAAAATACAGAAACTCCTAAATAACTCCTAGAATTAACATTTTAAGTGCCATGGAAAACATAATGTATGTGATTAAGTACAAATAATGCAGAATAACGTTGAAGAATTCCCAATAACTTTTCACAAGGATCAACAACTAGATAACATTGTCTAAGACCAGTTTTCATAAATAGGTATAGTCCTTCATGGCCAAAGTTCAAAAAGGACAGCAGTGTGAATCCAGATGCCAAAAATTGTTCCAACTGTTTCCAGGCAAAAATAAAGCAGGACATGATTCAATTGAGTTATTTCCAAAATTTAAAAAACAGATCGACTTAATCTCTAATGGTCTCATACAAAATTTAGGTTTTCTTAGCTAACACAATTCAGTTTCGAATGTTCATTACTGTTATAGAATCCATTAACAAAATTACAGAGAATAGCAAAAAATTATTCACTTCATAAGAAGGAATTCAGCTCACTTGTAGTAGCCAATGAATTAACAGGTGGATTGGAGATCGTCATCACTGCAACTCCATCAGCGCCGACATCCATCAAAAGACTCATGGCTACCAACGATACAGCACCTCTAACTTGATTCTCTGCAAATTCTAGGGTTTTCAAATCCTACACACCCTTTTTCCGGGCTTTCACGGAAAGGGGACGCAAAGAACCAGTGATCCCACTGAGAATACAAAATGTGAATAATTGGGTTTTATCGAGAGAGAATGTGATATTAAAGGCGAAATTTCTAGGTTTTTTTTTCTGATTAGTACGAATGATTTCGTTGTTAATGAAAAATTTCGTTTTTAACGTGGAGAAATATGGAAAGGTTTATGTTTGTAATGGATAACTGTATACTATAAGGGCCTGTTTCGGTACATGGATTGTAAATCATGGATTCTAACATCTTGGATATTGTCAAAATCCATCGCTTGGATTGTTCAAATACTTAAAATCAAAAAAATCAAAATAATGAGAAAAAGACCTATTATTCCATGATTTCATTTTCACACCTAAACCTGTTTTTTTCATTTACAAGGTTAATGGATTTCACTCAATGGCTCCCCCGACCCGAAACATTTCCAAGTCTCATGGATTTCACTCAATGGCTCCCCCGACCCGAAACATAAAGAGCAATTGGTAGGTATGAAAATTTTGAAAAGAGAATGTACCTAAATTTTTTAAAGATAGAAACTAATCTAAAATTTTTAAAGAGAAAAACTATTTGAAATTTTAACTTTTAGAGAGAGAATGTACGTTAAATTTTTAGAGAGATAAAGCAAGTTAAAATTTTAGAGAGAGAAATTATCAAATTTTGTTAAATAGATTTACTATCTCAAAATTTTAGAGAGAAAAACTATCTCAAATTTTAACTTTTACAAAGAGAAAGTATGTTAAAATTTTAAAAGAAGAAAATAGGTTAAAATTTTAGAGAGAAAAAGTACCAAATTTTTTTAGAGAGATAAACTATCTCAAAATTTTAGATAATGAAACTATCTCAAATTTTAAGCTTTAGAGAGAAATTGTCATATTTTAGATAGATAAAGTATATGCAAATTTTTGGAGAGAGAAATTATCTCAATTTTTTTAGAAAGAAACTACTTCAAAAATTTTGAAGAGAGAAACAATCTCATATTTTAATTTTTAGAGAGAGAAACCATATCAAATTTTAGAGAGTACCTAAAAAGTTTTAAAAATAGAAACTTTCAAAAAAAATTACAGAGAAAAACTATATCAAATCTTAAGTTTTAGAGAGATAAAGTATTATTAAAATTGTAGAGAGAGAAAGTATTCTTAAACTTTTAGAGGGAAACTATTATAAATTTTAGCAAGAGAACGGCCAAAAAAATTTTAGCTAGAAATATCTCGAGTTTTAGAGAGAAACTATCTCAAATTTTGAGGTTTAGAGAGAAACTATCTTGAATTTTGAATTTTAGAAAGAGAAAATGTATTAAAATTTTTAAAATAGAAATTATAACAAATTTTAGAGAGAGAAACTACCTAAAAATTTTTAGAGAGATGAACTATTTCAAATTTTTTGGAGAGAAACTATCGCAAAATTTATGTTTTAGAGAGAAAAAGTATATTAAAATTTTCAAGGGATAAACTATATCAAATTTTAAATAGAAAAAGTACATGAAATTTTTAGAGCGATAAACCATCTCAAAAAAATTTAGTGAGAGAAATTATCTCAAAATTTAAGTTTTAGAGAGATAACATATATCTCAAATTCTAAACTTTAGAGAGAGAAAATATATCAAAGTTTAGAGGACACTATATCAAATTTTAAAGAAATAAATTATTTCAAAATTTTAGAGAGAGAAACTATCTCAAACTTTGAAGTTTTAGAGAGGGAGAAAGTATCTTGAAATTTAAGAGAGTAACTATATCAAATTTTAGAGAGAGAAAGTACATACAAAATTTAGAAAAAAAAACAAGTACAAAAATTTTAGAGAGAAATTATCTCAAATTTTAGCTTTTAGAAAGAAAAAGTATCTTAAAATTTGAAAAAAAAAATATATCATATTTTAGAGAAATAAACTACTTAAAAATATTTAGAGAGAGAAACTATCTCAAGATTATTGAAGAGGAGAACTATCTCAAGTTTTAAGTTTTAGATAGAAAGTATCTTAAAATTTTAGAAAAAGAAACTATATTGAATTTTAGAAAGAGTAAAACACCTAAAAATTTTAGAGAGAGAAATAATCTAAAAAATTTTAGATAGACAATTTCAAATTTTAAATTTTGGATAGAAAGTATATTAAATTTTAGAGAGACAAACTATATCAAATTTTAGAGAGAGAAACTATCTCAAAATTTTTATAAATACGCTATGCCAAATTTTTTGAGTTTTAGAGAGAGAAAGTGTATAAAAATTTTAAAGAGAGAAAGTGTATCAAGTTTTGTTACCAAACAATAGACATAGAAGTGATTGCAAATAATCCATGAATTTATACAGTTTATCCAAACAAGAGATTTGAGGAATTCATGACAAAAATCCTTAATATTGAAAATCCATATATTTCCCTTGATTTCAAATATCTATGATTCTTAATTTCCTCTTATCGAAACGGGGCCTAAAAGGATAATGCTTTTATTTAGGAAGTTCGCATGAGTTACTACATGGGCTTGCAGATCTACACCACACGAAAATAAGAGTCTTCCAAAGAAAAAAGTGAAGTCAACTGTTCAAATGATTTTTCTAAAAAATATCATTTCTAGTTTTTAAAATTTATTTATTTTTATGGATTAATATTATCCAGGTTAAAGATTATATATTAGAGTAATGATCCTACGAGACCTTCCAACATTCATGTGTGTAGGACCCCAAAGAATCACTTTTAAATTTGGCAAAAATCTCTGAAAAAATCAAGTCACATACCCATATGATACTTTTCTAGAGATCTATGTAAATTTTAATGGTGATCATTTGAGGTCTTACACACATAGATGTGGGAGGGTCTCAGAGGATCATTACTCTATATATTATTTAAAAATTATGGTCAAAAATTTTATTTCAAAAATAAATTATTAAGGGGGCCCGTATTTGTACATGTGAGCCATTGGATGCATAGAAACCATGTCGTTTTATTTAAAGGTGTGGTTTTTATAAGGTTGAAACCTTAAATAATCCAATTAAGGCATGCCTTGAATTTGACCAAACCATGTAATTTTGGAATAAAAAATTCTTACAATTATCTCAAAATATATTTTTATATCTAAAATTAAATTTTAAATTCCAAAAATAGTTAAAATCAAGTAGATATATAAATATATGAAAATCTTGAAAATGGACGGTCTACATAATATGTTGCAAGATGCACTATTTATGGGACTCAAACTCCTTCTTTTCTTTCTTTTTTTTCATATTCATACATTTTGATGTCAATATGATCAATTAAAGGGTTTTTCAACATCAAAACAACCTTTTCCGATGGATTTTAGATGTGCATATGTAATTCTACATTTTTAAGGTTGCAACCTTATATAAACTTCTTATTTTATTTAAGGGTGCGGTTTATATAGAGCCCGGGCTCCAAGCAATCAAATTAGAGCCTACCTTCAAATGGTGTCGAGAAATGTTGTTTAAATATTGGAAATCTTTGCGATACCTCTAAAATATATTTTCATACTTATTTATAAAGTTTAAAGCCTCAAAATTTGTGTACATCGACAGATCTATGAAAATCTTGAAAATTGACGATCCAAAATTGCGTTACAAAATATACTATTTTTAAAACTTGAAATCCATATTTTTTTCATGTCCATGCATCGTGATGTCGAGATGATCAATTTGAAGATATTTGAGCATCAAAACAACATCTTCTAGTGAAATTTTTTTGGTAGGCTGAAATTTGATTGTTTAGAGCCTCGGCTCTATATAAACTTTTTCCTTCATTTAATGTTATATAAAACATTTTTTAGATAGCTTTTTCACCCTAAAACCAAGTGGATCTGTAATATTTTTAGTAATTTTTTAGCTTCAAATTTCATAGTTTGTATTAGAAATTGATTTTAAAGCTATTATATAGATTCTATGCCTAAAGTGCTTTCAAAACAAGGATTAAGCCATGCCTAAAGTGCTTTCAGAACAAGGATTTAAGCCTGGGGCTTTAGTTTATTATAGAGAGCCTAGGTCTTATAGAAACTAGGGAAAATTACAATAAACATAAATAAATAAATAAATAAATAAATAAATAAAAAAAGCCAAAAACAAACAGACTACATTCTCCATGCAACTTACCCCACTTTAACTTTTTCTCTCACTTTTTTCCCTAAAAAACACTTTCCATGCAAATATCCCCAACCAAAAAAAAGAAAATGAAAAAAGCCTAAACTACCCTCCCTTACTTTTTACCTTACCCGCGCCTCTCTCTCCTCTATCCCACCGAAATAGGGGCTCTGACATTGTGTAAATGCGGTTCGGCAGTAGCGCTTCGGCACTATGTAAAGTGCGGTCCTGCAATTGAAAAGAGCAGTCCGGTAGTTGCAAAGGGCGATCTGGCAATAGATGTTACTGGATTCCAAGGCTCCGGCACTATGGAAAAGGTGGTATCGCAATATTAAGTTTCAGTCCGATAGTTCTCTTAGGGCAGTCCGTCACTTGTGCGCTTCAGCAATGTGATAGTGTGCTCCGACCATGTGCTACTGGGTCCAAAAGTCAACGTCAAATCTGGCCAAAATGATTTTTGTATATGGGAGGGCATTTCCGTCTAGAAAATGATTTTTTTCCCATCAGGGGTTTTGCATAGAAAGTTTGTTTTGGGAAAAAAAGTGCGAGAAAAATGTTGGTTGGGTAAGTTTCATAAAAGGGGTGATCTTGCGGTTTTTTTGTAATTTCCCCTATAAACTACATTTTGGAAAACAAATTTATAAGGGTGAAGCCCTAAATAATCAAATTAAGTTGGACCTAAAAAATCCATTAAAAGAGAGATGTTTTGATGCCCAAAATTCCCAAATTGATCATCTCAACTTCAAGATGTATGGATATCAGAAAAAGTATTTCAAGTATTGGGAATATCGCATGCATATCTAGACCGTCAATTTTCAAGTGTTTATAAATCTGTTTCATCTATATAATTTTTGAAGCTTTAAAATTTTATAATTAGAGATGAAAATAAACTTTGAAGCCATTACAAAGATTTTCAGTGCGCCTTACATTGATTGTTTAGGGCCTTAGCCTTATATAAAATATGCTAAAAGATGTTATTTAAGTGCCAAGAACTTATTAATTGTTTGGAATTTTTTTTTCATTTATAATTATGGAATTTAAAACTTCAAAAATAATGTATAAGCAGCATATCTATAAGGGCAAGCTTTATATGCTTTCCTTACAGCATAGAAGTTCTATCCTCCCCCTAATCCAAACGTCCATTCTGAATGGAGGGCTAAGATTGCCCCAATCACAATGT